GTGTCAGGAGCTACGTCCTCATGGTTAGTGGCGATTGAAACAGGTATATACACCATTTGACGTGTTCAGACTCTGGAGTCCATGAGTACCGTAGGTTTGGAATCAGGGTTTTCAGCTCTCCCAGGTGTAGCTGTATGTCTACCAGTCCGGTTTTAAGCGGTAGACGTTTGGTATTCGTCCTTTCATTTTCGTGAGGGACAACCGTGCTACATGTTTCTTCCGTCTTCGCCCTTCTTCTTCTCCTTAATATTGTTATTATTATTATTATTATTATGAAACATACGTTGATTTCCCTTCACTACCACAAGTATGAATAAAATGCATCAAAGTAGGTTTGTTTTTACCAGAATGTCCAGTCTGTGGGACTTCATTGGCCTAAAACACATAATTCTCTTCTTGGCATTCATTTCTTTTATAAGCATAATCATCTACCTTAACCAATCAAAACATACATGCAAGTACATGCACGCACATTTGACTTGATAGTCATTGTGTAGCATATTTTACATAACAGTTGTTTGTCTCTCCCAGTCATTATGGAACAGAGTGTATTATTTCAAAACATCACCTAGTAAACAATATTTCCTACTGTATGCAGTGTGTACATTACATTCAACAAGTAACACTAAGGTATTTTGGAGAAGAGAGTTATCGCAGCTTCAAGCTTTCATTTAGTTGACTTAAATGGGAAAACAAAGGCGAACTGCAGAGAAGACTGAATAAAATGAAGCAGTTAGTAATAATAACAATGAAGACAGGAATTCAGGTGAACACAGAGAAGACGGAGTTGATGAAGAAATCTAACCAAAAACAACAACGAGCTCCAATCTCTATCAATGGAAGAAATTTATTGGAAGCCAACTCTCACTTTTCTAGACATCATCGTTTCAGCTGCATATAGCTAAGATGAGGTTGTCAAAGCCAGCCACAATCGGATCAGAAAAGCGAGGCAGACCTTCATTACTCTAAAAACAGTGTGGAAATCCATCACACTCATCATAAGGAAGAAGATCCGAATTTTCAACACTTAATCTGGTTAATCTGGTCATTGCCTCTATATGGTTCAGAGACTTGGTGTATCGTCTTAGGTATCTCCAACAGATTGTAGACTTTCATCAAAAGCTGTCTTCGCTCCACACTGAAGATGAGGATAAGCAACTCTGGCTACGAAGCCGTTTAGAATCTACTGCCCAACAACAGATATGACGAAGTAAATTCAGATGGACTGGCGATAAATTGGAGAAACTGTTGAGTGACATCGTGCGCCAGACACTCAAGTGGAACTCAGGTGTGAACCGATGAGTTGGGCGTGTGTCCGAGAGTGAAAAGGAGGAGATTGTGTGAGGAGGAAATGAAAGGTTATGGGCAGTTGTGGAGTCAGCAAAGTGGCGACTGTAGAGAACAGGGTGAAATGAAGGTGTTCTGTTGAAGCCCTACGTTCTTCTGGGATATTAAGATAGTACTAATAATTAACATATACTTACAATAACATTAACTATACCAATACGCACTACACAAAGCGAAGTAAATAGAAGGAAAAGTAACAAAAGGAAGAAAATATCTATTAAATAACGTACATGACAATAATACTCATTTTAGAACATAAAAAGCATACAAGTTCACCTTATTCTTATTGAGGTATAAATATAAACAAATTCAGAGCTTTTCAATAATAAGAAGAATAGACTTAAGCTAAGGATGTGTAGTAGTATTATTAATTCACATCTAAGTATTGTATGATTATTGTTGTTCGCTTGGTTGCTGAGTGGTACATAGAGCTTCAATCTCGGTACTGATTTAACTGTAATTTAAATGATCATTTATGAAAGGATAATCTCTGTGAATTAGGGATATGCACACACACACACACACCAGGTCAACAGTCAAGTCACACAGACAGTGCCGTAACGTCCTTCTTAAGAATGAAATACTTCCTTTTGAATTAGAGCATTCTATCCACAGAAAATGCCTAGTAGATCTGAAAAATTGTATACTACTATAATAGACAGGTTTACACAATAATTTATTCGTAGCATATTTTACTAGTTTTACTTCTTTTTAAATGAAATCTGTGGTTGACATACATACTGGTAAATACTAATGTTCTACTTAATTACACCAAAATTTGTTCGTTGTAATATTACCTATCATCCGGAGAAAAATGTTGTTGCATTATGTTTAAAATGACTTGGAACTACAGATGCACTCAGCGGTGTAATCAAATATTAAGCTACGAAATATGCCTAGGGAATATGTGCACTAATAATATCCAGTTATCTGTACCTTATTGATTAGTGAACTCTGAATCCGAAACCGAGCAATTTAAATCAATCAGTCAAGTCGAAACTTCATGAAAGTAATTTAACAATACATATTCATAGTTTCATTAACTTATTCTTAGAAAAATAGGATAGCAATTACCAATTATTGTGAATGAATCAACAGTATGTAATTCAATCAATTAATTACAATAACAATAATATAAGTAACCTCTGTAAAAACAAAACTAAACTGTAAACAGACCTTATGAAGGTCAATGCATTGAAAACAAAAACAACTAGAATAACAAAAACACAAGGAATGATGAATAAACAGATATTCAATTTAAGAAAACACACAACTATTTTATTTACAAGTATTGATGACGGTTGTCCCTGTTAACAAAAAAAACAACCAGTACAACGATTTCGTTAGTGAATAGCTGTTTTAAAAAAGTGAATCTATAAAAAGCATACTACTCAATTATGTTAGTAGTCAAATAGTACTTATGAAAATCTCATAGGCACGTTTAATCAACAAAGACGTATCATTTCATATATTTCACGCTAATAATTTAAGAATGAAGGACAGAAATGTTGAAATTAATTGAAGCTTTTGAAAAATTCTCATGTAGACATATAGATGTACATCTTGCAACAATACTGACCATCAAGAAGAAAGAAAAAAACGATAGTAGTTCATTCTAAGACGTCCTTATGACCAGGAAGGATGACAGTACAATAAAAAGAAGCATAAGAAACAACAGTACATCGATTGCTCAGTATACTCATTTTTTGAGTTTTGTACCTTTGAAATCTAAACGCAGTTTAGTGTTTGGTTCACACAGCTAGAGTAATCTGTTCCAATGACTGTCTTAATGAAGAACTCACTATTATTAAAGAATTACTCAATGTGAATATCTATCCAGAAAAGTTTATCGATAAAAATATGAATTCAACACCAAGCCAAACTTCAAAGAAGCCTGTGTTTTAGAACTAAGGTCACATGGTGAGAACATCAGCGAAATATCAACACAACACCTAAAGAATGGAGAAAAAGAACACTCAACGAAGTAAAGGTATATGATCTCTTCACAGTCACTCCTATTTTACAATCAAGAAATAAGGATAAACTACCTAATTCAGACTGTTCTATGTGCATCTACCGGTTTAACCGCTCCTGTGGAGCTATTTGCATTGGTTGTACGATTAGATATGTTTATCATCGGATTTCTAAACATCATCTTACGTGGTTGAAGAAGCATTCGACTTTTGTGCGTCGGTGGAACAACGGTTAGGACTCCTGCCGACCATGCACATGGTACGGGGTTCGATCCCCTACTGACGCACACCGGATATCAATGGTTGGTTTGCAAAATTTGGGCTACCGATATCACATGCTGAAATTCCATACTTGTACCAATAATATTGTGTGGTTTCAAGTTATAAAAAATTCTTTTACCTTGTAGATACTGAACATAAAGTTGATGTTAAGTCTATCTACCGAACTCCTACTAATCTTAATTTTGTTTTACCAATTCTTATTTCATATAGAGCTGAAGCCGTCGGAATCCACCTGAAGAAGTCAAACTTATGTATTCAGAAGTAGTTAATTCAGACGCTTTCCCTACCTAGGCCATCACTACTTGAATATAATAATCTAACAATCCCCCGTTCCCTGTGAGCCCTTTACGAGTCATTATTGTCTCAACTATCTTTAAATGAGGTATTAGTTTTCATACTAACTTTGTCTGATATTCACTATATTTGTATGTTTTTTATCACTCGCATAGGCTTTTAAACTGTAATCTCAACAACTCGATATTGTTCTAAAATAACATTAATGTTGTCAACATGAATTACTCTTTAAATATTGTGTACATATAAATATAGTAGCCAGATGAAGAAGTTATCGACAAGACTACTCTTTGCTTAGTCTTTTTGTCTCTCAATTGAAGAAATTGAAAAGCTGCACACATAAGTCCAAATTAAAATCAGCAAGACGGAAATAACTGAATTAATAAGGAGAGGGCCGTAGCCTTAGTAAATAAGAGATTTAAAAACCAGACCACCTATAAATGACATAGATGATATCATCAAGGCTACATTGGTTAGTAAGAGGATTACTAAAACGCAGCTATCTGTCTATCCAATACAGTCGTTTAACAATCTTCAAAAATTATTTGTGGACTACGCTGCTACATATGAGAAAAAAAAAATTTCGTGTGAGACATCAACAGAAATATAAACTCGGAGGAAACTGAAGTGACTGTGATCAGTGTATAGGTGAGTAATGTTTCATCTGACTGGCTGACGCCTTACTTGAATTTTCTTTAACTGGGATAAGGAGTCAGCTTTATAACCGATCAAAGATTTGAATGAAGTATATTGAGTTAGTTAGCTCTATTGTGAAGAGTTGACAAATCTGAATAGACTTGAATAGAGAGAATGTTAGAAATACTAATAGACTGTCAGGTCACTTCACTGATGGCAATATCCCCCACGATTTAAAAAAACAAACATAAACACCAAATCTCCATCTGAAACCACAATTCATTCTGGACGTTTAAATTTTGAGTTATACGTATTAATTCACAACAACCTCAATCATCAGAAACACAGTCAATTAAACCAAAAAACTGTGAATAATAACAGTACTACTACTACTACTACTACTACTACTACTACTACTAATAATAATAATAATAATAATAATAATAATAATAATCTGTTTGAACTCACCACATATTCAAAGACAAGGGTTAATGACTTCTCTGTATGTATAATATCATGTAAAGTGACTATATTTGCATGACGTAAATTACGTAGTAGGCTGACTTCACGTATAGCTGTGCATGGAGCACCTTCATCGTGTTCAAGACGTATTTCTTTTAAAGCCACAAGCGTTTCTGTTAGAAGACTTTTACCCTTGTACACGGTTGCATATGTACCCTAAAAATTAAGCAAAAACAAAAAATATTCAAAAAAAAAATTGTAGAAAAAAGCGGACAGAAAACAAAATCTAGAATTTTAAGATCAATAAGCTAAAGACTGGAAAGTTAAAATTACAAATCAAAATATGTAAATCAAAACAGTAGGTTATCAAGCATATCAAACAGAAGGTAAGATAAACGTGTTATCCTAAAATAATGGCGTTTTTATTGAGAAAACGTTGCGATATTGTCAAATGATAGAAGGATTACAGTACTTTTAATTCGCTAATATTAAAGTTGAATAAAACTCATCTGGCGCCAATGACGACAGATTTGAAATATTCAACTGTCTATGTACAAAAAAGTGTACTGTGCAAAAGTGAACTCTCACCCACTGAATGCTAGTGAAACATACCCTTTCGACACAGAAAATTTAACAGAGAAAGAGTTGAACATTAGATCACTGATACCTTGGTGGCAATGCTGCTTTCTTACCAAGATGCAGTGTGTAGAAGTTAGGCTATGTAAGAATTATAATTCAACCTTTTGTTCATTTGATTTCATCCTTACTGAACCGAGCTGACAAATGTTTTCTAGTTTATAGATGCAGCTTGCTAACCATCTGCCCTATATAACTTGAACCACAAGAACAGTTGGAATGGTATATGCGTGAAGAAGAGCTGAGATTTGGTAAGACATCTTTCAGTTTCGGAGTGAACATTGGACACCTACTGAAGGATACGAACAGATGTACAGAAGAGAAAGTCTTCTTTATTGCTCCGGTTACATATTGGGGTAGAATCTCTGAAGGAATATCCCCCTTAAGTTGTAGATGCAAAATTATGACTTTTTACTTAGTACATTTGTTCGTATCCTTCAGTAGGTGTCCAATGTTCACTCCGAAACTGAAAGATGTCTTAACAAATCTCAGCTCTTCTTCACGCATATACCATTCCAACTGTTCTTGTGGTTCAAGTTATCTGGGGAAGATGGTTAGCAAGGTGCATCTATGAACTAGAAAACATTTGTCAGCTCGGTTCAGTAAGGATGAAATCAAATACATAAAAATTTCCATTCCGCCGCACTTGATGGATACAGGACACCGCACTGATGCTAACATAGCCTTCAGGGTTATATACCAAATTACGAAATGTAATTCAGTCAAGAAGGTTGTAAATACCACGCTGTTTTGATTTTCAAAACCACAGGAATAACAACAGAATTCTTATTTTGAAGGTGAATTTTGCTGTCACCTGAAGAATATACTTGTAAATACATGATAGAAATTCTCTTAGCCTTCTACCAATCAGGTTCAAGATGGAAAAAATATTCAACGAATCGAAACGTTACTGAAACTTAATTTTCCATCTGTTTGTTTCAATATTTATAGAAAATTATTCATCAAAATCTAGTAATTCAACCCAAAAGTTATGCCTATTATCTCAGTTTAACTGTAAAGTTCTTCAAAAGTCCAATTACTAGTAAGAAGACACTTTTTCAAGTATTTTTTTTGTCCTTCACGTTCCCCAGTGGAACATAGGGCTTCAAGCTAAAGGCTGGAAGTTTCTGTAGCAGTGTTTATTTTAAAGGATGGAGTTGCTAGCCTCATGCCCAACCTTTCCTCTTTACCAGAATTATTTCAGGCTTAGCGAGGTAATGGAGTGCGTCGGCCGGGGATTGAACCAGGGACCATGTGCATGGTCGGCGAGCGTCCTAACCACTATGCCACCGACGCACATCAAGTATGTATGCTTGTATATAATTAAATTAGGTTTTCACAAGAAAACCGTAAAAAAGTTTAGTATTACAAGTACATAAGGAAATCAGGACGTATAATTTGTCAAGGGGGATATAGCAAGAGAGGAGGAAGGTTATAAACGTTTACGAAAAGTTCTTAAGATAAAAAATGGCTGAAAAGACTACAGGTTAACGATAAGAATTACTTGGGAGTAAAATTCAAGAGAAAGAGAGATAGACGGTAGGAGAAACGAAATATTTGCAATCCACGAGTTTTAATTTCAACTTACACTTCGAAAATATTGACTGGTTCAAATATCATATTGGTAGACTTGCATAACGACAATAGCACATTCAGAAAGCAAGCTCTGATAAAATCTAGGACAAGGCTGTTAAATACACAAACAGCTAGCTTAAATGTACGAAACAGAAAATGAATATTTCAATGTCGATTTTGTCACAAACCAACATTAGTAAAAGATCAAGAGAGATCATGGGGTAATAGAAAGCTGCTCCATCCTAGTGCGGGGCTCTTCAGTAGTGCACATCCACGTACCCACCGGGGATTGAACCAGGTGACTTCAGGTTACGAGACAAAGCTCGTTGACCATTAAGCTACTGGGGTCAAAATCCAATGACTTATGAATTTTAACTTCGGCAATTCGTGATATAGCACTACTCCTAACCACTGCCTTTGATTAGTATCCACTTCACCTGGAAATGGTGGAACCAAATGGTCACGTCTTCCCAGTACATCTATCCAGTACCCATCAATGAACTGGTGATTGATATTTAGATTATAGGTTTTGTAGGGGATTTAGATTAATTTCAGTGTGTGAACTGTGAAGAGTCCCAAACTAGGACGAAACAGCTGCTAAGGTGCTCTCTGGTTTTCAGTGATCTCTAACAACTGTTGGTTCGCGATTAAATTCGCATTAAAATTAATCTAAGTCCCTACACAATCTAAGAAATATGAATAATCAAGCTGACAGCACTGAAATGTCTAGTAATTCAACAACACATATTCATGATGAGAGAAGAAAGCCTTACAGGATAGTGTAAATAATATTCCAGTTCCACTACTCAAACAGTTCAGCATAACCGAAAAAAGAAAACATTAGCGAAAGTAGAAAAGTATTACAAATGAAATACCTCGGAAAGGCTAAACACTTCTGTACAAGATTGAAACTATAACTTATAGTACTACAGTTAATTCAGTTTTGCCAAGTCTTTTCATCTATTAACATATTAGGATAATTTTAATGCTAATATAAGTAACAGCAATATTCAGATGATTATTGATTAGATGAAGATGTCAAGTGTTCGTGTGTGTATGTGTGTATGTACATTCATTCACACACATTACATTCAACAATTATATCACATTTAACGATTACCTTGAGTCTTCTGAAGCTTATTCTTCATGTTTAAGTCAGAATATAAAAGTATTGATGTGATTATAGCCTGATAATATTCCTTTATTATTACTACTACTTAATATTGACATTAAATGGCTTGAGAGAAAAAAATACAATATCATAATGGTATACAAAGTAAACTGAAAAATGACGCTAGATGTAGAAAGAAAAATAACCATCGGTAAGACAACAGATCAATGACTAAGTGAATCAACTATTTACACACAGCCTAGTTCAAATGAAGTTAAGTGAAACCACGCTAGATAAAGAATTTTATCATGAACTGACATCCCATTTAGGACGGTCGGGTGTAAGGAGAAATACTCACCGATGACATTGTCTAGTAGTTAAGCTATATCATGAATTGGCAGGAGGTGGAATTCATAGGTCACTGGATCGGGTCCCAGTGGCTGAATGGTATGAAGAAATCTCAGTACGGATACAGAGAACTAGTTTGGCATATGCCAGTTTACGCCTTCTCTGGCGTAGACGTGATATCCGGCTATCGACCAAAGGGCGAGTGTACAACTCAACAGTCCACTCCGTCCTCCTTCATGGTTGTGAGTGAGACGTGGCCATCGAGAGTGGAAGACATGAAAAGATAAGCTGTCTTTGATCATATGTGCCTATCTATCTATGTCCCGTGTTAGGTGGTATAATCGGGTGAGCAATATTGAAGTTAGTCATCGGTCGAGTGGTACGTAGGTGTAAGGGGAAATCAATAGACGAGGTTGTGAAGTTACATTGATTGAGATGGTTAGGACATGTGTTACGTATGCCTAGTCATCGCCTTCCTCGACGGGCAATGTTAGCTGACATATGGTCAGGCTGGAAAACAGCTAGCGGCGGTCAAACCAAAACATGGCTTCATCAGTCAATGAAATCCACAACAGTTAGTTTAAGCCAGTCACGTAGGAGGGTGTAGACTTCCTGACTGGTTGGGGTCCTCGGGACGGTAAAAACCAATGGCTGGAAACAATTGGTGATATGGCTCAAAATCGTTCTCAATGACAGCGCAGATGCATCCACTCCTTGTGACTTGTGATTTCATATGAAACTATATTGTTCTTCGTTATTACTATTCCTTTGTCTCACACCTCTGTTTACTGTCTCTATTATGCATTTCTTCCACTTTCTTCTCTTACTTTGTATGCTACATGGAGTGTGGCGACTTGAACTGCCGTACGTCGGTGCAAAGTTCTATGTCGATAACAGGCACACAGACAGAGACGAACTCGCTTTGTAACCGGAAGGTACTCAATTGGAACCACGGAGGATGAGTTCTGAGAAGAGTCTCAAAATAGGACGAAACAGTTGTGCCGTTCTCGAGTGCTGGTTTTCCAGTGGTTCTCCAACCGATGTCAGCTCATGATGAAATCATGTAATCAATCCAATCAAATTCTCGCAAACCGACACCTCAATATAATAGCACGATAGATAACACAAACATATCAGTATTTTACCAAGACGACTCGACTATTGTTTTTCTGGAAGTTCGCTAATTATAAGCTTACATTTCAGTTGTATAACTATAGAAGAAAGTAGTTATTGATATATGTATAAAACTTGGGGACTATGGTAGAGTATAACTCCATTATGGATAAGATTTTATTTTAATAAATCACACAGTGTTGTACAGTAATAATAACTGATGGCGTTTCGAGCACAAACTATTGCTCATAATCATTTCAAGTTACTCACACAACTTTTGACTTCATCTATTTACATGACTGAAATCGATTAGACATTTGAATAAAATCAATATGAGATAAAGTACATTCGGAAATGATATTAGTGTCATCAATAAAATACAGTCAAATGGGAAATAAGATGTTTTTATAGTAAAAATAAGTAACTTGTTAGA